TACCATTTGAAGCTCAATTCGATTTCAAATCTTGATGATTTTTGTCTCTATTTGTTATTCGATGGTACCCTATTTCATTCCTCCATCTCTTTACGTGCAATAAATAAATAATGGTGCATTCAATTGATTTTTGAATACCTGTGACGCAACATTTCAAGATATTTCAATGTACAGCGCTGTGAAAAATTAGACATCAATATTTTTTAATAGTTTAGAGATGTTTCGAAACAAAATTTAAAAACGAAACAAATCTCAATCTGTCGTAGATTCGAACTTAGCCGCTATCGATGTCATGTCATGGTAGTCTTAGCCTATGCTGACGTATCAGTTGAATAATTATCGTAAGCGATGAGAACCAGATTCGGACAAGCTTGCGAGCTCTTCTCAGTTCAAAACTAAATTAACTTAAATTCTGTATTTATAACTTCAATTTATCAGGGGAACACCGTTTACTTTTGTCTAAGTAAACTGTTCAGCATTAAGTATAAACTTTGTTTTTTCTGAAAAACTTAGCAGATTTAAATCACATTGAAATTTTCTATTATTTTTGTTGATCATGACCCACATGGGAACATTTTTTTTTTTCATATAATGATCATAACATGGCAAGTGATTATATATGAAACTTAAGCAAATGAAACACTAATTTACTATGTATATGAGTTCTAGCGTACACCTATTAATTATATAGTTGAAATAGTGTTATTTGAAAGTTTAATTCAAAATCATTTTTTCTTTTTTCTTTCTTGCATATTGGTGTATGGTTTTCATCATCTTAAAATATACGGTACAAATTGTCAATCGAGAAAACTTTCAGTCGACTAGACACGTCTAATCAGTTGGTATTAGCACGCTAGAGAGGTTTCAAGTTCAAAATATGTGTTCATTCAATTGATGAAAATGTTTCTAAAAATACCACTATGGCATATTTTTTTTGATTTGGAATCGTATCTTCAGTTTAATATTTTTCTGCTTTGTCACATATTTTTGAAATGAAAGATCGTCTGAACACGTTATAAATGCGCTTTAAATGCAAGGAACGAACGCGTTTAGACACAAAATGAAATTGAATCCTGTCTAGAAGAATCAAGTTTGTATTTGGTTTTTACATGAGCACCCTGTTCGTTTGACTTATTTTGAATATTTTTTATCAATGTCATTTCTTTTTGTTTCAAATCCACTGTTGATATATAGATTCATCTGTGCTCTTATAATGTTGATGGATGAAATGTGCATTTATCACATTGATACAAAAAAAAATTCAAAAAAGACGTAATGCTTATACCAATGAAGAAATATAGAATTGTTTCGAGAATATGGATGAAAAGAAATCCAAATCGTATCACACATACTCAGCCACACCTATCCGACACCTCTCATTATGGACTGTGTTTGTATTGGCATGAGTGAAGAATGTATACCATTTTCTATGGTAGATGTATTTCAAAGGTAATGATTTTTGTCTGATCATGACTTATCACTGACTGATCAGAACATTAGTATATAACGTCGTTTGTCTAACAGATTATATGAGTTTCATATCTGAATCTCATCAATGACTGCCCCGGCAACCATTTTTGCATTCGATTTTTATTAGTTCATTGAATTTCTTCTCGATGAAGAAAGGCAATGGATTATATTTTTCTGTTTTTTTTCACATGGTCGTTGATGTATGCTATTACTTTTTCACATCTTATGTATACATTGAAATTGTAAATAATGTCAATATCAGTGTGTTTTTAAAGAAGAACAACATGTGAAGCCTGTCACATGTCTTTCGTTACGAAAATTACCGATAACTTGATGCATTACCTTCGTCGTGAGTCAAAAGAGGAAGAAAAAGAAACAACAAGCACTCCTTTTGCGCTCACTTTTTTTCTGCTCTAATGGAAGAGACGGACGATACAACCTCTGATGTCATAGAAGTAAGCAGATTTTACGAACTGTTCTGTTAACTAATTTCAATTATCTTTACTAATAGTTAGACACGGATGGATGTGTCGTTGAATGGCGTGACAAACATCTAAGTATGTATTTATACTAATTGAAAGATGTGTTTTTGAAAATGCAGAATGTCATACCCTAAAAATCGTCAACTAATCGCACTATATCGAAACAATGTGCGTCAGCTGAACAGCGATAAATCACTAATTTTTTCGATTATTTCGAGTGTTTTTATGATGAATCGAGATTTTATATTCTATTTTATTCCTGATTATATCGATAACTTTTGTAATCTTATACACATAAACGTGAGTTCCACTATTATTAGCATATTCAGAGTTTATTATTGCAATTCTTTATAGTTAAATAAGGGCACACTCGAAAAAAAAATGTTCATATAGAGAAATAGAGCTTCTGAATTAAATTTTTCTATGAAAAGCATTCTTCCTCTTATTTGTTTTTGTTCGTAAATAAAAAATCTAAAACAGAAAAAAAAGAAATATAAATCCTAAACGCAAAGCAAATTTACATACTACGATGACAGTAGAAGATGTTATCATATATAAAGAAGTGAAGTTCTTCAATTTTATATGAATCGAAGATTGCAGGACTCGTTTGAAAACTGCATTTAGGCCGAAAAAATCTGATTGAAAAAAAAAAAAACTTGATCTAAAAGTAAGGGAATATCAACTATGTATTAAAAAATCCTTTCGAGAAACAAATAAATGTGAATATGAAGTCTAGTTCAATTGTTTTCTGTAAGTGCCCAATCTCTTTCTTGTCACAATCGTGACAACCATGCTTAAACTAAATCTTTCTTTTGGTTTCGAACATACATGGTTATCTTGAAAAATGTTTTATAAATAATATATGATCATTAATTTTACAAATCTTGGTGATATTCCTCTAATTAACTGACAATTTGCAGTCAACTACTAAAATCATCTATTCAATACGATTTATTGCTCTAATTTAACGCCAATTTCTGAAAAACCATTTCTCGTATACCATAATCACAATGAAATCTGATTTAATGAGGTATATTTTTCGTGACATGGAATCGTTTAGTGCCAGAACCATACGTTGGAGAAGAACGATCATCAAATGATGAAATCAGAGCCATGGAACAGTTTGCACGTGTCTTTTTTGAACGGTATTCAGCTCCGGGACCAGCACTTTATATGGGTTCACTTGATGAAGCTATCGCTCATTCTTTGTTTGATCCGAGTACCGTGAGTTTTTTCATCCTGATTTGTTCGTAGAGAAACTGAAATATCTTTGCGTGTTTTCTAGCCTTGTCCTTTAGTCCTCTATGTGCATCATGATCGCAGCATAGCTACAACCATGTTTTGCGAACGTGTTCTATGCGCCGAAAAGATCACATCTTATCTTGCCGAAAATTTTATTGTTTGGGCGTGGGATCGAACCAACGATATCAATTATCAACGGTGAGTAATAGAATCGTGCACATATCAAAATGTAATTTACAAGGCATAAGGGGTTTTTAAAAAAGGAACACCTTCAAGATCGATTCTTTTATTTGCCAAGCTTGGATAAGCTGAAAAAAATGTACCGAAACGAAACGTAAATATATCGGACGGAATAAAAACTTAAGTCAAAGAAGTATAACAGTAAACAATCGTAAAGAACTATAACTTGTAGTTTTCATACTATTCGAATTACGCCCGCTTATCATCGCGTCATGAACTGTTACAAACGACCGTAAAATAAGCATTCTTGACTGTTGTTCAATGGCAACACTATGATATACAGTCGTAATACAATTAGTAAGAAAACCGCAAGTTACCGTGATAAGCAGTGTAATAAGGTGATTTACGTCATCTGAATGAGTTGTGAATGACGATTGCAACTATTGTTCATTGGTCAACTAATAAACCAACTAGAAAATAGTTGAGTATTTTTCTTTTACACTATCAGATGTCTCAATTGCTTCCCATTTGTTTCTCTTCAGATAGAAGTTAAAATCATTAAATACAACAAATGCTCGTGAAATAACATTTAGAATATTTCTATCAAAGAAAACATGTATTATATCTATAGAAAGTTAGGTATTTACAGTAGAACTATTCGCTTTATGAAGTATTCGATAGTAGCCACCTTCACAGCTATGTCAAGAAATTAGGAAATGAAAAATCCGAAAAACAAAAATCAACACAACATCTCGAAGGACGAAGAGGCAGATGATCACTTGCAGTTTATTCTTTCTCGTCTCTAGCGTCCATTAGACATCATCCGTTTCCTTTCTACTCCACACGTAGTGCAATTATACCACGGATCCTGTCTGCTCCTTTCATTCTTCAGCATTCGTGTATTGAATCTTGTTCTGGCGACATAAAACCGCTTCTTTTTCCTATGATACCCGCCTCGCATCCAACATACTCTTTCGTACGCAGCAACAAGGACAAATATTTTCTCCTCCATGACGACTCTGTTGTTTAGCAGAGTGGCAAAACCATAGTTGTGGCTACTTCTCGAGTATATCAATGCAAGATCCCATGTCAGAGAAGATCGAGACTCATCAGTTTATAAACAACGTCATCAGCCATCGGCCGGATCTTCGATTAGTTTTTTTCTATTTTTTGACAATACCAATTTTAATACCATAGGAATTACTAAATAAGACAAAATTTTCTAGTTACTACTAGTATGTCATGAAAAAAAAACAGTTTCAAATTTGTAATTTTGTGTGTTAAACCAGACGTTCATGTGGAATTATGATGAGATCAACAATAAGCGAACCTATTTTCAATATAAGCGAGAAAGAGTAGACTAAATTTTAATGAGACAACTGTTGACGATCAAGAAGCTTTCGAAAAATAAAAATATTTTGCTCTTGATTACAATTAAAAGTCAAGTCGAATATATACTAGAACACAATTGAGAATACTACGTCTCGATTGCTACATGGGTGAGATGAAATTCTCGTCATTTCGGTAATGAAATCGTACGAAGATCGGATTTGTAGCACCGTTTCAGAATTTTTTTCTGATAAAACAAATTGAAATGCAAAATGAACTTTATTCAGACTCTTGGCTATGCTACGTTTGCATGCGGGTGATAGTATAGCTGGATTAGTGGCTTCATCACCCGTCGATCTGCATCCGCTACTTGTATGTCTCGTGTTTCAAAATGGTCGAATAGAAGTTGCAAGTACAATTGAAGGCAACATGCCTATCGATTTGACATTAAAGCTTCTTATAAATGCACGAGACGTGTTTGACAGCCGAAATGAAGAACCTGATCCAACTAATTTGCAGTTAACAATTGTTTCTGGTGAAGGTTGGACCATGTCGGAAAGTCTCTTAATACCTATCATGAGAGATACTGAAGAATTTCGCAGAATAGCTAATGAGTTTATGCAGAATACGGAGCGTATTGTGAGCATCGATAGAGTTGAAAATCCAATGTGGCTTGCTCAGTTTCTCAATAATAAAGAATCTATTGACGCTCGGCTCGATGGTATTGAAAGCGAACGACTCTTTGCATTCACTTGTTCACCATCAACAGCTCGACAGATCCTTAAAAAAGGATTTAGTGATAGACTGAAAAGCATTCATGGTAAAATCTTTAAATCCATAGAGAACTCACTCCATTTGTTCATTTTAGGTCGACAATATGGCTATGGATTTTATTTTCCATCTTTCTCTTCGTTCTATTCAACGCAGAACGGTGAACAAACAATGCTCGTGTGTCGAGTTCTTGTCGGTCGAAGTTGCCTTGGTCATTGGACAATGGAAACATGTCCTTCAGGTTACGATTCAACAACAAATGAATCAGGCACTTATGTTGTCTATTCAAATCGACATATCTTGCCCAAATATCTTATCACTTTCAGATGAATTCATCTTGTAATTTCTCAAAGATCACTATAATTCACTTTAAGTTTGTGTCCTTACTAAACTATGTCTCATTTCAAAAATTAACCAAGATGGATGATTATAACGATTTTTTGAACATAATAAAGATTAAATACTTGTAATTTTTAAGATCATTAAGATAATAAGCAAAGGATACGGGTAGTTTCGAATGTTGTTCGGCATGTTTTTTTCTTGATTAAATTGAATCAGAGAGTTATGTTGCAAAAACTAACGAACATTTGGCCTATAGAAAATGTTCGGGGTACATCAAATGAAAAATCCACAAGAGCGAGAATTCAATAATATTAAACGACTCGAAAACGACATTAAGCAGTAATTTAAAAAAAACTAGTGTTATATTGTGTGAATGAATGATCAATAATGCACCAGTATAATTAAAATTAGTAATCGACTAGGATGGTAATCAAATACATAATCGTTAATAACTTGCTATGTTTTTAAAATAATGATCAAAATATTGGAAAAATTGATAAAATAGTATATAACTGGTTTGTCACAGTGTTTCATTCAAACTAACAGATGTAAACTTCAAGTTGTGAAGCTATTTACTACTAGATAGGTATAATAATCTTTTAAAAATTGAACAGAGTTCTTTTTTTTTTGAATATAAGAACGATGAATTTTAGAATCGTTTCACAATATCTTGAACATTCTTGTAAGGACAAATGATAGCAGTAGCATTTCAATCATCAACATTTTTTAAATGCAGTCGAATAGGTCTACTTGTTATATCAAGTAACATTTACAATAAGCTCAAAGGACCAATCAAATGTTTTCCAGTAAAGTCGTTCTTATTTAGCATCTTCCTTTGTTCGTTGTTAATGTGTCAATCTCGAAAATTGAATCCTCTGATGAATGAAAACTGGAACTATTTGATACATGTAACAATCTTTCTAGCGTGACGAAAAATGTTCGTATTATGAAAATGGCCTCCAATTCATTCCACCTCATTTGAATAGAGTACTACTGAGGTGCTTGGACTGAAATTTTTGCTCGTTTTCGACAAATTAGCAAAACGTGTCATAATTGTTGATGCGTTTAAAACGATTCTGTTTTATTTGAGAATCAAGATATTTACAACTAGTAGATGAATAGTTTTTATCTTGCTTTTTATAGTCCATTGAACTCATGGAACCTTCCACTTCCTTACTTAAAAAGCATAGAAAACAGTATAGAAAAGAAAAATAGCAAATTTTGCATTTCCGACTGAATGGCACTGTTTTGTTCCACTCATTCCACTTAAAAGACAATTTCGTGTGGGAAGGTTAAATTGTATGTTGAATATTTTTCTTGAATATCTTCATTTGTTTGTTAAATTTAGCATCATGAGGCAAATTATCAGCCAACAGAACAACAACACTCACGAAATGATTAGTTGTAGCGTATATTATTACATGAATTCGTTCACCATGTTTCACTTGCATGTTAACAAGAAATTCAATAACACAGAGAAGTGAATTTCATAGATCAGTTTTGATCGATAAAACTTTATCATTGGCATTAAAACGTTTCATTTTCTGTCATTGAAATATCATGGTAACATGCTCATTAAGCAGTATTTCATGGAGATGATGCAGAACTCAAATCAATTTTGCATATACGTTGAAAAGATACATCTTGCGCTTCTGTATTGATAGGTTTGACGAAAGATGGAATGAGTAACCTATTTTGGTTTTCGAAAATTTGTGCTGTTTGATCTGATTCATAATCAAATAAAGAAGTATTTTGGATGGACAGCCCGAGTAAAACCGAGCTGTTAATGTATTTGTTCGAGAAACAGATTAGAATTCACTGCTGTTTCATTTTGAGCTCGTATATCATTAGCAAAATATGATTGTGGGTGTTGCCATCAGCAGTTGGTGGATGTATAATGGAGAAACAAAGATATGTCCTTATTGATGATATCTTCAGTTTCACTTAAACGAAGATTTTTTAAAGTAAATATCTAAAACTCTCTCTAATAAAAGTCAAAAGAAACAATTTTTATTCGATAACGCTATTTTGTATAATTCGAAATCAAAGTAATTCTTCTGTTGTTCGAAAACATATTTGCATTTTTTAAAATTAATACAGAACTTTCATTTGATATTATAGTTTTGAATACGATATTATGAGGATAAAAAGTATATGTACATTCTAAATATTTGAGAAGAACGATATTCTTAGATGTCTAATGATTCATCTATCTCATTTTGCTTTTGTTTAAATAGGAAACTTTTAATTAACAGTATATATTATGAACTCCGAGTCTGTTTTGATAAAATATGAAAAAAAAATTAATTCTTTGAAAGATCTTATCCCTTAAATGAAATGATTTGCTAATTTAATTTTCTTTGTATTCCATAGCAATTGAAAACGAAATATCTTGAACAGGCTTTTTAATTTAAACCAATACGAAATTTTAACAATTGAATTGAAACAAACTAAAGCTATGAAAAAAATTCTTTTAGAAATTCGTCAACTATATCATTGATCACATGCATCTCAACATTAAAAATGACTGACGATGAAGATGAACTCGATAGCGACATAGAACCTATTTGAAAATCTCCATTAATTATATATGGTTAAAAACATAAATAGGTCCATAATTTCATTGTATGATAATTTTAGTCAGAATCACATGTTGTGCAATACGATCTAACAGTAGTGTTGACGTTTATTGGTTGAATTATTCTTATGAATAATCATCGAATTACGTAATTATTTTCTCTATAAACTAAAGATACCCAAGCAAAAATCGATCAACCACACTTGGAATAGTCAAAAAGTGTTAAAAGCACTTGCCGATGTACGAATTATTGACCGTGTATCAAAAGTTTTATTTCTATTGGATATCATTGTCGAATATTATTATTATTTTGTCTTTTCTCAAAGAATGCTCATTATGAATAAACTACAGAAAATTGCTTTACAAGTCAATTTAGTTCTATGTCACATGAAAATAGATAATTATCACGACGGTAAATGAGCATGCGATAGTGCACTAGATTTCGATGATGAAAATGAAAAATGTCTCTTTCGTTGTGGCAAATTTAATTTCGAAATCCACTTTTATGAACAGGCTACTGAAAATTTCGAAAGTGTTCGTACAATAAATCTATTAAAAATAGCTGTGCAACAATGAATTGAATGATGTTCCCAAGAAACTGAGGCATATGAGATTATTTTTAAGATAGTTGCTAAAGCCAATTCAACTAAGAATGTTTGAAATAGATTTGCATGAACAGTTATTGATCAAGATATCCGATGCTACCTAAGATGGATGTGTGTATATGCATGAATGTGCGTAGCGAACGAAAATAACTCCATCCGCATTCACACTCAAAAAAAGCCTTGATCCAACAAGTTATATTTACATTTCTGAGAAATAGTAAACTCTTGCATATCGGTAATAATTGATATGTAAACATGAAGAGAGGAAAGAAAAAAATGAATACAATTGCTTTAAATAAGGTGTCATCAACAAAGATCATTTCATTTTCAAGTATATCGAAACTCTAGCAACATAATGACTAATGTTGAATAAATGCATTTTTCATTTGTCTCTTTCTTATTGATGGCATTTCTGTCTCTCTGTGCTTCATTACACACAATAGTGTTCATAGAAACAAAAGTGCCTTGTAAAGTCAACATAGTGATTGTCTAAACAACGCTTATATAAAATGTGAAGAATATTAACAAACAGAAACTATTCAATACCAAGTCAATTTTTGTTTGTTCTTTTGAAAGTACACATATGAATTTATTATCGAAACAAAAGGTAGTACGTAAATTACAATGGGTTGTGGATCGTCATCAAAAATTCAGGTTACTAGTCCTACAGCTCGTCCAGATAATGATAAGAGTGAGTTAAATCAAATACCTACTACTTCACTACCAAAAGATATGACCAGCAGAATAACAAGTACGACATCCCATACTACCAAAAAAACGAGGACAACTTCGGCTACATCGCAGAGTGACGCCGTAAAAGAATAACAACTGCTACATCTGAAACTTGCTCGACGATATTAAAAGAGTCCATTGAAGGAAAAAGATCTGCTAATCCGTCAATATATTCGCAGGATGAAATCAAGCACAACATGGTTATGATATGGGTGGATCCTAATATACATAGTACTGAAAAAAACTATCATGAATCGATTACTAAGCTAAAAAGAATCACTGAATTGATTTATATATTTACTAAATCTGATCAATGCGTTCATTTTCTCGATACCACTAATGAGGAGAATGTTGCTCTTATTGTATCGAATACACTCGGCGAACAACTTGTCCCAATTGTTTTCGATAAACTAAAACTTAAATCAATTTATATATTTAATCAAGAAAAACAAATACAAGTAAACTGGGCCAATAAATGGGAAGGTAAAATGAAAGGAACTTTTTATGATATTCAAGATATTTTTGAAGCAATTAAACCAAATAGTGGTTAAACATCTAATAGTTGGAATTCGATTAGTTTTCTATCGACGAACGATATAGAGATGAATGAAAATGGATCGAATAAACTAAATCCATCATTCATGTATACATACTTGCTTACAGAAATTCTCCTTGATACGCCTTATGATAGTAATGCGAAAAATATACTAGCCGAATTCTGTCGTATTCAATATAAAGATGATGAAAAACAATTGAAGTTTATCGATCAATTTGATGAAAATTATGAAAGTCAGTTAGCTGTTCAATGGTATACTAAAGACTGCTTTCTCTATTCGATGATGATTAGTGCTCTGAGAACGCAAGATACTAAGACTATTATAAAAATGGGATTTTTTGTGCTGGATCTACATAAACAGATTACACAACTGCATAATGCGCAAGTTGGTCAGCACAAAGCAATGACAGTTTATCGTGGTATAGCTATTCTATCAAGTGAATTGGACAAATGAAGAAGAAGTATAGGTAGTCTTATTTCGTTCAACGATTTTTATGTCAACCAGTAATAACATCAATGTTTCAAAAAAACTTCGCTGGGAATCCGACAACAGATGAACGTATTCCACTACTCTTTTAAATTAACATTGATACGAATATATCATCTGTCCCCTTTGCTTCTGTAAAGGAATTTAGTGTTTTCCAAGATGAAAATGAAATTATTTTCTCTATGCATACTATTTTTCTCATTGTGAATGTTCAATATGACCGGGATCAATATTTGCATGTTAATCTACAACTAACAGGTGAGAATGAACTGGCACTCATGAAATTGACCAACCATTTTAAGAAAGAGATTGGAGATGGTGATCCGCTGGAACGGCTAGGGCATTTGATGTTGAAAATGGGTGAGTTCAATCAAGCTGAACATATTTTGGACGCACAAATCAAATCCACAGGGGAAAAAAGTTGGCATAAACAAACTCATCTCAATCATCAGCTGGGATATCTCTATAGTCTGAAGAGTGACTACGAAGCTGCATAATTATACTATAAAAAAGCACTCGAAATGGAACTGCCTAGTCTTCCTGAAAATCATTATGTATTGGCTTCTATTTATAACAATATAGCTAGTGCATATTATTCAATGGGAAAGTTCACAGATGCGCTGTCTTATTATACAAAAGTGCTTCAAATTGAACAAAAGTCTCTTCCTGCCGATCATTCTATGTTAGCTACTAATTATAATAACATAGGATCAGTTCATAATTCAATGGACAATTACACATTAGCACATGAGTTCTATGAAAAGACACTTGCAATTCGAGAAAAAACTTTACCCAATAATCATCCGGATATGGGTAGTATCTACAATAATATTGGATCGATTTATTATTCGTTAGGTGACGATCAAATTGCACTTTCATTCTATCAAAAAACTCTCCAAATTCAAGAACATGCTCTTCATCCTAAGCATGTCGATCTAGCTATTAGTTATGGTAATATTGGTACAATTTATAATTCAATGGGAGATCACCAAAAAGCACTTGAATATCATGACAAATCGCTTGAACTTCGAAAAGCATCGCTTCCATCAAATCATCCTAACATAGCTATGAGTTACAACAACATTGATTCAGTATATAATTCAATGGAAGATTATCAGACTGCATTATCATTTTTTCAAAAAGCACTCGAAATCCGCGATACATCACATGCAGACCATCATATCGGTTTTGCTACTACTTTTAACAACATTGGCTCGATCTATAAATCAATGGGTGATAAAGTAGCTGCTAAATTAAATTATGCGAAAGCATTTGATATTCGTCAGCATTTTCTTAGTGAAAATCATCCCGATTTGGCTAATAGCTATAATAATCTTGATACAATTTACAGTTCGATCGGAGACAAATGGATAGAATTTGATTATTATCAAAAGACACTTGAAATTCAACAAAAATGTCTTTCAAAGTATCATCCAAGTATAATACAAACTTACAATAATATTGGTTTGCTCCGCAGTTCGATGAACGATTATTCGAAAGCATTATCATCGTATGAAAAAGCACTATCGATTCAACAAAACTCGAAGTCCATGAAGTAGCAATCTCTAGCATTAGCATACTACAATATGGAATATACATATTATTGTATGAAAAAATACCTAACAGCTATTTCATTTTTCGAAAAAGCATTAATGATACAAGAAAAACTATCGCCACCGAATCATCAAGATTTGACCAATACTTATAACAATATGGGTATAACATATTACGAAAACAATGACTATCAAAATGCTATTTTGTCTTATGAAAAAGCGCGCACAATTTCTGAAAAATACCTTACTAATGATGAATCTTCATTGACAACAACTTACTACAATATGGCTGTTGCATACAATGCCATGAATGATAAATCCAATGCTTTCTCATTTTATGAAAAGACTCTTGAACTTCGGGAAAACAATTTCGCAACAAATGATTCATTATTAGCTAATATATATAGCACTATTGGATCAATATATGATTCGACTGGAAAGTATTCCAACGCTATTGATTGTTATCAAAAAGCGATGGTAATTGAAGAAAACGTATCACCAAAACATGAACATTCGCTAGCAATTACATATAACAACACTGCTGTAGCCTATCAACAGATGGGAAACAATAACAATGCTCTTATATTTTATGAAAAAGCACGTAGCATTCTAGAGAATACTGAAGCCATTAATAATTTAAACTTAGCGAGTATCTATAAAAGTATGCCATCCATCTATCATTCAATGAAGAACTATTCGGATACTGTTACATTTTATTTAAAATCATTATCAATTAACGAAAAAGCACCTTCTTAAGGTGATGCAAACTTGGCAACTATATACAACAATATTGCTACCGCTTATCATTCGATAAAAGACGAAACAAATGCTTTGCTATTTTATCAGAAGGCATTACCCATGAGAGAAAGAACATCCCCTACCAATGATCCATTATTAGCTTCAACTTACACTAGCATTGCTTCGATTTATTGATCTATGGAAATGAAATTAGATGCCATTAAATTTTTTGAGAAATCACTCAAGATTCATGAAACAGTACCATCTCCAAAGCATTCATTGATGCATGCGATGCATTTTAATGTAGCAAGAATGTATCAAGATCTTAACAATCAGGATGCCGCTGTCAGGCATGCTGAATGCTCTCTCAATAACGCTCGTGCAGCTTTTGACTCTGACGATGTAAAAGTAAAAACAATTGTCAGTTGTCTATTTTTTATCTTCTATAAATCATAAAAAACAGCAACATTTTATTTCGTTTAGATTTAAACATATTATGACTTATACTTATGTAAACTGGCTATGATAATATGAAAGAATAACTAAATAGGAAAACATATTCGAAATGAAGGGTGTGGGTGTGGGTGTGAGTGTGAATACAAATAAAGAGTAGATACCAACGTCCAAAGCCACAATCGTACTCTTCAACCGTCGACAGCTTTAAATATGAAAACAATATTTTTTTCTAATTGTTGTTTTATTCAGTATCTGGTAATATTAAAGCTCCAGTATTTGAAATGCAATCTCAGGTTTTCCAACCAAACAAGACTTTCTAGTTAAAAAAATTTCTTCTCCTCATCCAAACGAGTTTTGAATGTTCGAATAGTGCTGACACTGCAGCTATCTAGAACAACAAGAAGGGTACGTGTGTGGGTATGTATGATATTCGAAAGAAAAAGTCTAATAGTTAAAATGTTTTGATGCAAATTGTGCAACTTGTCGATTGTAACCATATAGATAAGATAAGAAAGATAACAGTTGATGTCAAGCATTCATTTATTAACTCGTAGTTTTACAATGACATCGGATGATTTGCTCACTGTTGGCTTGGCACAAATTGCATCTATTGAGTTTGATCGTGAAAAGACATTGAAAAAGATAGCAAAATGTATTTCCGATGCAACCAATCACAGTTGTTCACGGGTCCTTTTCGGCGGAGCAATCGTGCTTGGTTATCTATTTACGCTTGAATTAACAGGTGATGCTGTATTTAATTGTTCGACACAAAAAGAAATTCATGCAGAATATATGTGTCAAACTGCTTCGATCTAACGAAACGATTTGAACGAAATTTATTCATCGGCTAGAACTCGAAACATTGTCATTTATTTAGGCTGTATTGAACGTGAAATAGGCCGTGGAGCTTCTTAGCTTATATTGCTCGATGATTTTTATTGATCGTAATGATATAATTGGTTCTGTATATCGAAAATTAATGCCTACCTATGAAGAAAGGTTGACATAGTCAATTGATGATGGCAATGGATTACATGTTCATTCGTTAGATATATTCACACGCGTATGCCTTTCCAGGTAGTCGTCAAAATACGTACGATATAACGCCATCTATTGCCAAAGAGTCTTGTTCGTTTCTGGTTACTGTTTAGAGTGCGATGTGAAAACAAGATTTTTCTATCGATTTGATACATCGAGAGAAAATTCTTGAACACGTGCCAGATATACTTGCGGATGGTATTTGGCTTATTGAACAGACAACTGTTGGCTTATTCGCGTTGAGATATTTTCAAATTGATTGTCAATCAAGAGCAACAGTCTGTCGTCACATTCAAGGGATGATATAATCTGTTTTTTCAGTTATTGTTCATCATCAAAAAACTAGTGACACGTAAAAGAGAACATCAAAATAATTAGACTTTCAAAAGCATAATGAAGATAACCAAAAATACTACTTGGATTCATTTGTCGGAAAAAATCTGAATAAATAGCATAGATAGACTTGATCATAAATTAATGTAATAAATTTCCAGCTTATCAACTTTTTAATGAATACTTAACGCCATCCTGTGGATAAAAGTTTCTTATACGTACTTTAGACTAGAGTAATTTTTCTCTTATGAGTCATTGCTATCATACTTATGATGCACTGTTGAGATTACTAATGCAAAAGAATTTATAACTCAAATTACGCCAAGATTTTCTCATAAAAGCTCTTATGAAAACTGATATCCGATACCAATTAATAAGTTTTAATGTATTTGAATATTATTGTCGTGCATATTGGCGTCACCCGCAGCTAATGGCTTAAAAAAGTAAATATATTCATTTGATGAATGCAACGACTTTTTAATGCATCTTTCTCTTATTTTTTTTTTGAGATGACATCTCGTAAGAGAGACAAATATTGAGCAGCGCCCGAAGCATTGTCATAGTGGGTAAGACTTTGTAGAAACAATGATAACTTTATCACTCTAGATGTGTATGTATGATAAGGAACGAGTCAACATCATGAGAATAATAATATATTCACTTTGCTCTCACTGTTGTGAAATATCAAACAGACATGTTTTCTTTTTTTTTGTAGAATCAGTCGAAAACATGAGACCGATTGGCATACTCCTGATCCTCTTTTTCATTGCTGTTGAAAAAGGCCAAGCCATTCAACTGTGTCCATCATCATCAGAGAATCCACGCTGTTTGGATGAAACTCGATTGAATTGTAATGATTCATTGCTTGCTCCAACCGATTTTCACTGTTGCGATGGTCTTACATGCGTTCCTATAACAATACCCGCCACCGACACACAAGAACGATATGAGACGACAATGTGTGTCGCCTCTTCCTCGAACAGACGTCGTATTCGATCGAACGTTGCACCAGCCAAAACTCCACCTGTGATGGCTTCTGCTTGGTCAGCCGCTACGACCTATTACAATATGTCTAATGGTGATACGGGCTGGGGACACTTTTGGTTTGATGAATCGCATAGAGCAATTCGAACCGACTTTTATCCAACATGCCCATTTTTACAACTGTATGCAGCCGGTATTGATGCCAATTATGTTCCATGCACTGTACTCTTCTACGAAGGACAAAATTATTTTGTGTATCCGTCAGCACATGTTTGCTGCAACTATACATTTCCTGCATGGCATCCTGAATGGTTATGTCAAAGCAACGCCACGTACAATGGAAGTGTTCTTGTTAATGGTCAAATGACCGATTTTTGGATGGTCGAATGGGTGAGTAGAGAAGAAGAAGTAGTTTGAGGTTGACTGGATAGAACAAAGTGTGAACTGATCTGAAGGGATCAGAAAGAAATCAAGAAAAATTAGTCGGTACATTAAGTAGAGTCTTTGCCTGTATTCGACTAACATGTGCAATTAAGAATTAGAAATAAGAAGAACGAAAACTCAGAACGCGTGGAAGAACGAATTACCGAATGATCCATCTAAGTCAATTAAAAATAATATTGAAGCATGATAGCTGATCTAATTCGATCAGTTATGTCAATAAGCGAGATTAAAAACTCGATGCATCTTTCAATACTACATGTCGATGATATTTTGATGTTAAAGCTTGAGGCTTCTTCACATCAATTTCGAATGCGTTAGTTCACTGTCATTTTACATAAACAAAATTATTTGAAGTTCTTTTATCTCGCTACTTAATTCCAGTATATGCATCCCATCTAGTTTTGTATTTATAATTTTAGTTTTCCAATTTTACTGGTGTAGAACCGATACGAAATCTCCGCAATATGTACACTGTAGCGGATTCACATATTCCTGTACGTTTTCGAGAAGATCTGGATACGGGTTACCTTGATTTTCACGATTATGTTGAAGGTCCTATTGATCCGACTATATTTACTTCAATGATTGACGCCTATGGTCCATGCCATTCAGGCCATGGTAGTGCTGGAAGCACTGATCGGACATGCACTCATTACACAGCACAAACGCTACGTCGCTCATGGCCATGCGACAATCCAACATGTTCCTGAGCATAGCATTGTCAAAATAAAACCTTGAGAGAAAATATATTTTTTCATTGAATTTATTTTCTGTGGTTTGTTTTGATATATATTGAAATACATGCCGACTTTTAGTCAGCGAATGTCGATCTGTTCAACACTGAAGAGTGAAGTGTGAATGGTATGGATGTGTGAGGGTGAAGGTAGGATGACACCACCGATGCTGTACGTTGATAGTCTAAGTCGCACCCACATTGATAGGCACAGCCGTACACATTTTTTCCGGATTTTTTTTCATTTCGGTATTTTTTTTTTCACATCATTTAGACGATCCATGGGTATAGGTCTCTCGTTAACTCATATTCATACACACGGTTACACTGACACTCACACCCTGCAGCAGCCACAGCTATACCCACCTCCACCCATGTTACGTCAGGATCGTTGTTAATCTTTATCAAAGCAGCAAACAATCGATGCGTACTCAAAAGTCTAATTGAATCGTGGCCAATAAGATTATCTTTCACGAAATAGTAAGCAAAAGATTTTTATCAGTGGTTATCTTAGTCATTTTGTTCGTGTGTGTTTGTGAGTGTGAGTGTAAATGACAAGAAAAAAAGTCATTCACACCCATAAACCACACCCACATCCCAGGCCCACACTCTCTGGCTTCTGCAAAGTATTTCGATTAAGCTACCGTTTCGTTAAAAATATTTTTTATCCGTATATTGAAAAAAATAAAATATTCATAACTCTTAAAGGAATGGCCCTAAACTCAAATCCGTTTATGACTATAACTAGACTACTGTGTAGTACCTATGGTCAGAGTTTCATTGAAATTAGCGGGGAGAACCTCGGGAAGTTCTCTTATACGATTCAATAAGAACTGGATGCATAGCTTGTCTAAACAAAGTTTTCGATATGAAAAAATTTACGGAAATTTTTTCCTATCGCGATTTAGTATTGAATTTGTTTACACTCAAACCTTTTCTTCTTGAATGTGTTCGATGCTGAACAAGACCAGAATGAATCTAACTTGAATATCATCATCACTATATCGAAAGAACATGACTTTTTCATCAATTAGTGGTGGCTAATTTATAGTTAAATGCGTAATATATTCAAGAAAAGACTTTAGCGAAAATCTTTGGAACCACCATAGTAGGTTGACGCCAAGAGAGCAGATCGTATTGAATGCAGTTTCGATGATCAGGTAATTATCACAATTGGTTAACCAAATTCTTTCCTACTGCCACAGCTTACATTTTGGCCACTGACAATCATCGATCAATTGATGAAGAAAGGATTCGGCCGTCTTTTTTTTATCGTACTTATATGTAGAAGGAATGTACGATATACTTCACTAATTTATTTTGAAATCCAATAGGGATTGAAACACCGGTACGATGAAACGTGATTCTTGTCTGAACGCGACTACCAGCGGAATTTATATATTGATATTTTGATGATACCAAGCGAGCATTGAGCAAGCTTATTGAGGGTGATCAGAAGACTAAACTGAGATTTTTTTCCAACTGTACAATTTACAAATATTCTGAATTCAATTAACTTGATCTTGTCTGATTTGTTTTGGTTGAACCAGCTTAAAAGGGAGTTGCTTCTATGGTTTATTTAGAGAAAAAAGAATGACCATTATATAGACGTGCAAAACTGAAGTCTCTCGTTTCGTCGAGACCGTTCATATGTCTGACAAAAATCAATTTAGTTCAGATTGTTCAATAATTTATATTCTCGTCAGTCAAACTACAATGTTGGTACATCGATTGATGAAAGAAAGTGTTTGATGTATTTTGGAGATGATGTTGTAAAATGTAGTCAGTGATACTTTCGATTTGAGTACACTGTTGAAGTTTCTCACGTGTTACGGAAGGATTACGTCCACACTTCCAAATGGTAGTGGATGAAAGATTCAGATTTTTGATTCTAATCAAATGAGTACTGTCGAATACAATAATGATGGAGTGGTACCATCTCAAGACTAACGATCATATCTTTCTGGAAAGGATGAACAGATTCATATTCCCTGCCAACTTTTTTCATGATGCTCTTTATTTTCGAAATTCTCATCCGAGCTCTTGCATGTAGTTTTGCTGAACCAATACATGTTCTATTGAATATCGTGCTCCGAAGCAGAATAGTATTTTTGTCTAAGGAATTTCATACAAGCTAAAATATCCCTAGAGGACTCAGCAATTTCAGTTTTGAAAATCTGTAACATCATGCATAAGAAAACCATAATCGGTAGGTCTAAAAATCAATAAGAACATGGTATGAAAAACCATAATAGGATGCGACATATCTGTCATGATCTGTGAGGCAGGGTAGGGGGTTCACTTTTCTCGCTTTGAGTTTCAACACTCATTTTTAATCGTATTTCACAAAGTATTGTGCGCAGCGCTGTTTGTTAAAATATTGAACGACAAACCTAGTAAAAAAAGTTGTAAAATGACTTTGAGCATGAAGCAAAATATAAAATAATCTGGATATCTGTGCTGCTAAAACTTTCATCAATGAACTCATTGATTAAAGGTCAGAGAGCCGGCGTACAGAAAGACAAATATAAAGTGCGACTTTTGAAAAAACCTTTCGAAAATGCTTTATACAATTATTAAAGTAGGTTTGGTGAAAATGATGACATGTTAGTAATAGAATGCGGGTGTGGAGGATGGATTAGCACGATTGTTTGTTACAACTCGTCGGCTAATAAGAGAACCTGCAACGAATGATGCTACTACCAAACATACGACGAGCAAGGGTAATGAAGTAATAAGCAGTATCGAACTATAGCCATATTCTACTTTTGGTACAGTCGATTGTTGTTCGGTTAAATGAGTAAGATTAGGAGAGCGTATAGAAATTTCTCGCCAAAGAACGACCACATCGGCAAACAAGATGATGATGGCCATGAAAAACAATAAGACAGGTACAAAGGCTATAAATCCTGGCAGACGGTTGATAAAGAACACCGCTAGAGTAGCGAGTAGAGCTATGTTAATTAGCGCAGTTGTAATAATGGTTAACACTGCCGGTATCGTAGCTGTATCAAAAACGCATTCATTAAGTATACACAATTCCCATAATCCTAAGGTGAGAATTCGGTCGCCATTTGGTGTATCGATAACTATCCAATCCTTAGTAGCCAGCGCCACGACCATGAATACCATGGCAATAAAGCCAAAGGGAGGTACAGCGAGCAAAATTATACGAGTTGATTCGATAGTGAATGCCATGTATGCAGTTGATGAGAAAGATTGATGAATGAGTGCATATACGATCAACATTTGTCCTTCATATTTTATGAGGATGAAGAAAGGCAAATAATGAAGGAAATATGATAACTACCATCTCTTGCTTCTCATGCGAGTATATAACAAAATACTACCTTCAACATTTCAATGAAGCATTCATTTACGTCACAAGACATAAAAAGACTAGAAAAAAAGTCTTTTTTGACATTGCATTCAAATAGAATGATAGTCGGAAACTGAAGCATACTTGTTGTATCTTAAGAACTCAAACTTATTAAGGTTTCATAGAGATTTAATCGTATATTTTTTATCTGCCTATTTGAGTCTCATCTATAGAAGTTTGAAAAACAAAAAGAAAATCATTGACACTGCAGTGAATCAATATTTGAGTGCATGTAAATATCTCACATAAGAATATGGCATAATCATAAAGGAGAAGTAAGTGTTGTATTCAATAGAGCGATATGGAACATGTATAAAAATAATATTTTTCCAACACTTCCATGCAATGTGGTAGAGATTCACAATATTACAAGCAATTTCTATATGCTTCAACAGTCTTACTGTATAAATTACTTCCACTGAAGTCACTCAGCACTTTGTTAGTAAAACTATTTTACAAGTCAAAATGTTTTTTCCTAGTATTTCTCTTGATACTCAATGAAGTTTGTTTAATTAAAGCTTGTTTAAAATGAAGTCCCGATGGCTTTAATGTCGCTCTATACTTTGTTAGTAAAACTGAATTTTCTCTTGAACGGAAAAAGATTTTTGCTTGATTTTTTGGGATATTTATCTACTCTATGAGATGAAAAAAAGGATCAAATTTCTATCGCAAACAGTTTAGTTTTCATTCAGTTATAGCAATGACAAAATTGAAAATGTCGCTCTACATTTGTCATGAACACAATTTTTTTTTAACTTCGCATAAAATTTTGCTGTTAACGAAGTTTATCAGACAAACATTTTTTTTCGTTTCAAAGTGTTTTTCCCCATTTCTTTTTGATACCCAAGCAAATTTGTTCAAATGAAATTTCTTCAAAGGGAATATCAATGATATCAATGTCGCTCTACATAAATAATTGAAAGTGTCTTCACACGCATTGTCGACAGCTTTTTCTTCATAAAACTTTGTCCAAAGCAAAATGTAATAACATATACTTAAAGCGCTTGGCGAGCTGTACATGCCTAGCTAAGAACATATTTTTAAAAAATATTGCTATAGGATACAGAAAAACTGATCTTATTTCAGCAGGTGAAATTAGAAGCTAGATATTTTACACTGTTACTATAATATATCATAAACTAAAAAAGATGGAATAGATCTGGGAAACAGAAGGACACCCACACCCACACCCTTGTAGCAACGAATTGAGTTTTTCGAAGTAAAGTGAATAATCAAGACTTTTATTTTAGATTGAAAAAACTAGTGAAATACCGACAAAAATTATTAATTCAACAAATAAGACATTTTATTTTACATTGATAGACAGACAGAGAGTTATTTTAGTTAAGTAAAGTTGAGCCCAGAAAAGTAGATATGTCAACTGTAAAATGCTGTCTAAATCAATGATTAATGTTTATTAAGACAAATAATACTCAGAATAATTAGCACACGAGTTTTTGTTTTTATATAATGATATTTTGATTTCTCGCAATCAAATAATAGAGCACTGTCTCACTTACTTCTAGCCAATGATGTAAGATTTCATTGCTAAAAGCTCTTTCATTTCAACCAGAAAATGTTTTTCTTTTCCGTTATGATTTCAAACTTTTTGCTAGTTCGGTTTATTCAAATAATCAATATGCTATTTTTTCGTATAAAATTAAATTATCTCTTTTAAATTATCCAAAAATTTCAAATAAGTTTCTAATAAAAAGCATTGATTTTCACACATTATTGATTCTTTATTATTTATTAAAAATCAAGAAGAAAAAACAATACATATTCATTGATATTTCGAAAGATGATTGATTATTAGGCTAAATACTGTAAAACATCTTGATTCTTTGATTCTCGCATAAGATATTCTTTTTCAATCAAATTATCAATACATTTCTATGAAAGAAATAAAAACACTTCTTATTTTATTATTAAATAAAGTTGTAAATAAATTACTCTGATAAAAGAAATTTGTGGGTTGAACTTTGCTTGTAATATATTAATTACATTTTGTATCAGAACATCATGTGCCAGTCGTTGATGTGCTTTCATTGTTTTGATAATGATTGACTATGTAAAATTAAAAATAAAATTGATGCTTAGAGGAAAAAACAAATATGATTCTATAGTCAACTCAATAGAATTGTTTTTCGATCATCATCGATTGTTCTTTGAACGTTATCAAGAGTTGTTATTTCATTAAGATTAGCTTCAATATTTAAACTCACTTGAATTTTATCACTGAAACCATAAAACAAAATAAATAAATAAATAGATGGACACAAAAATAATATCATACCTTTCATAATTATTAACCAATTGTATTTTGTAATTTATATTAATATTTGTTTCTGTTAAATCTTCATTATTAAGCTGTGCATATATTAATAAATGAAATTTTAATAAACAATTCAATACTAATATCAAGAAGTCAATATTCATTCCTGTTTTATTATGAATTTCTTCAATTGTCCATTCAGATGAATTATTAAAAATAAGAAAAATAACCATTGGATACATCGATACCTAAATTCAAATTAATTTGCAAAATAAACGATGCGAAGCTCTTACTTGTAGTATATAATTTCTCTGTTTAATAAAATTTATCTCTAATTCTGCTGTACAGTATTCATAAAGACATGTCAGTTTTCGACCCTTATGACGTTGTCTGTAGAACTGAATAAAATTGTCATATCTCACTTGAAACTAAAAAATACAAATAAACCTTAAAACAATGACAAAGATTAACTTTACTTCATTTGGAAGAATAATATTTGAAGAAGCTAACAGTCGCCATGAATTTCTTGTAAGCACTATTATAGAAAAATTCTCAACTAGATGTGGTTTACTTTCACAATATGTCCGATATTCATCATTTAAAACTCTATTAATACTAATATCATTCAGCATTTGATTCAATTTTGATACATATTGTGAATCACATCCATCGTTGAGATACAAAAGTAGATTAAATCAAAGAAGAACTATAAATATGCAATTTACTTTTAATGATGAAATCATTGATTCTTCATAATCTTGTGAATTACTTAATTGTTTAATTAATCGTTGTAGTAATAATTTTCGACAGATTTTTTCATAGATATCTTTATCGTCGATATATTTGAAAATCAGTTATATAAACAATAAAAAATAATTTATCAGATATTTAAAAAAAAACAAATCATCTATATGCTATAATTTGTTTAAGTTTCTCTTCAAATTGATTGTCTTCGATTATTTTATCACTAGAACAAAAATATAAAAAATTGATAAATCAAATATGCAATTATATTATTTTACCATTTTATTAGAAGTTTATGACAATATTTAATTAATAGCTCAACTGATTTTATTCTATTTTCATCTGTCATTGGATTTTGATTAATGAATTTCCAACAAGTCTTGATATTATAATAGAGAAAATTGAAATCACACTAAATAAATGGTTACTTTGTCAAGCGCAACATTCAAATTTCGTTTATTTCGAAAAACATCATTGACTGAATTCAAGAATTTTTCATAAATACCAACAACTATTTCAACATAAACTTTTGGATCCTAAAAGACAAGAAGAATAGAAATCGGCAACATACAATACTAAATCTTATATTAATTGCTGTTTGTTTATTATGTTCAATTACTTCAATGCCAGTTTGATATACAAAATTTTCAAACATATTTGCCAGTTGATTCTTTACCATTGACATTTGACTAAATCGCTCTAACAAGTGAATTAAATCTTTAAAAAAATTGCATAAAAATATTAATACATTCAATCATAAGCTCATCTTCATATTGTTGTTTCTTTAGTATGATTTCAATCTTATTAATAACAATACTTAGATTATCTCGAATAAATATTTGTTCAATAATGAATTGTTTTTCAAATGTTGATAAATACGGTCCAATATAATGACTTCTTTATTAAGATAGGTAATAATCTATTTGGCAGAAAGATAAAAAATGTATTTTATTTTTAATTATCAATCAAAAATATTTTTTATCAATATATTTGTCTATTTCTTCTTGTTCATCATAAAAAATCATTGGATATGAAGAAATATTTTCAATTTCTTTTACAAGTTGAAATTGAAAAAATTTTTGATATAAATCAATTGTTATTCACATCTGTTTTATTAGAATCTACAAAAAACTATAATCAACGTTTAAAATGAATCAATAAACATTTAAGATCATACAAAACTTTGTCATATTCTTAATAAGTTTGACATTGATAGACATATATTGAATTTGAGTATTGGTCAAATTTAAACAAGCTAATGTTATGTTAGGGATAAGCGATTTGAAGAAATTTTTTTGCCAAATTTGTTTTAATCACTAATAATAGAACAAATACAGTTTTTTTTTTCAAACGAATATTCATCATGTGACATACGTCATCAATATCATGTTTTGAAAACTCGCATGCAACTTCTATGATAAATAAATTTTCTATTAATTCGTTTACTACCTTTATATGATGTTTATTATATTTTTGATAACATTTCAGTTTCTGCTCATTCAACATAGCCTCAGTTCTCTAAAGTATATAAACACTGGAATTCATAATCAATTTATTGAACAAGTGCAATTTACTTAGTAAAACATTTAAAATTTTCTTCCCAAATACATTCTACAGCAAGATAGAAATAACGACGAAAATATGTGGTATGTTTATATTCTTCACACAAACTATAAAACATATTGAAGATTTCGATTTCATGCGAAGAAAATAAGAGGAAAAAGCATACTTCAAAAATTTCACAACATTATCAGCTGATACGCATTTACATGAACACAATTCATTGATGGATCTTGTCAAGATGACTAACCATTGTAAAGTAACATCTATTGGTAGTTCTAATCTGTTTTATACAAAAAAAATAATCGTCTTAGTTATTTTAGTAAAACTTATGATAGAACTATTGAAAACTAAAATTAATAATTAAATGAAAGATATGTTTTAAGAAAATATATGCTTTGTCTACTTACTTATATTTCTAATTACCATGAATCTAAGCAAGAAATTATTAAATTAGGACAAAAGAATGTGACAAAGTAGTATAGAAATGTATGATGCGTCAGAAAACAGATTTGATAGTCATCTTTTCAAAACATTATATAGATTTGCATTATTTTTTGTATAGAGATAAATGTTTAGTTAGAAAATAATTGCACATGATAAAGAAGGAGATGTTCTTCGGAGACGACAGACATGAAAAAAATTGTCTATTCTAATGAACATATATCTAGATTGTTCATAATGATACATATGTAAATGAACTGAATGAATAAATGAATATGAGCAAAAGAATGATTCAAGAGCGGACTGGTATTGATTAAAATACATCTGTAAAAACAAAGAAACACAGATCATGAATGACATTGATCAATGTCATTACCAATCAGAAAATCACTGTAAAGTACTTTTGACGTACATTTTATCAATGAAACCCTCAATCCTTACTTGTGAGCATCTCGACGAGACCATTTTATCTTATTACTTTTATATAAAGTCACATATTTATGCCATGTTGAACAATAGGCGTGTTGCATGAGAAAATCATCTTGATAACGACTGAACATATTGAGCTGTCTCTTGGTTTGTAAGGGTTTCTCGACGTGCTCTTTCTTTTTGTCTCTAGAAAGTTTTCTCCAAAACGCTCGCAAATTAGATTTCCAGAAAACTGCGGTTTTTCAGCTATAGGTGTTGAGAAAACTGAGTTTTTATTAAAATCTAGAGTTTGAAGAAACTTTCTAATTTGATATTCAGATTCAGCGCTAAAAGACGAACATTTTGAAAAAAAAATTGAGTCTTTAAAATAAAATTTTAGTTTTGATATGGAATGCCCAATTTATAAAATATGTTAGAAGATTTCGAATTGAAGATGCTTATTAATTAGTCTCAAATTTTCTTCGACAGGCAAGAAATGGCATAAGGTTTTTATTATGATGCACATCATCAATACTCAAGTAGATACAAAATAATAGCATGTGGGTGTCGAGTAGGTATCGTTTATACACACACACTCGTAGAAACAATATTGAGTTGCTCTTTACGAAACAATTAAGTCGTTTGCTTTCTACTTTTTAAAGAATAACGTATCAAATATCGCCTCAATCCTAGAAGTATAAAGAAAAAAGACATCATCACGACTCTGATGCATACTAACACAAGCGATGAGTAGAACAGCAGTTCGTTTTTTCATATTTATTCTTCTTAGGTAATTAAAAATCTTTCGTTTTTTTGATACCTCCAACATTGAAGACTTTGTTTTACATATTCAATTATTAATTTAGTTGTTTAATTATTCGAGTGAATTCTCAAACATGTGATGGAATGTCTCAATATGATCAATGTTCGACAAATAGTGCATGTGGATGTCTTTATAGAGCAGATTTTGATGATATTGCTATTTGTGGTTTTCTCGGAGTGACTTGCTCTGAACTTGTTTCCTGTGAATCTTTAAACAATGCTTGTGATGAGCCTAATCATATCTGCATTCGTCATCCACGATGCCATAATCTTCCGGTTTGCTATCCATTATCAATGATTGATCAACAAACGTGTCCACCAATTACAAGTAAGAAAACAAAGAATTATATCTATCAATTTATCAAAAACTTAAATATTATATTAAGATTTTGGCTGTGTAAAAAATGATAGATGCATATTCTCTGTAAGAAAAAATAGCTAGTCTCGTTCGTATCTTTAATTGAAGATTCAATTGAAAATCAGAGCATATTGTGTCTGCTTAAAAGTGATTTTTGTTTTGTTTATATAAATATTTCCTCTTGATGAATAGTGACGAGCACTACAACAACTACGAGCACAAGCATTACAACAGCAGGTAAGTGTTTCTGTTTTTTTCTCAACAGAGAAATGAAATAAGTACAAAAAGACTACATTATTTGAATGAAATATTGACGCTAAAAGTGATAAAGAAAGTTTAATGGACATTGATGTGTTGCTGATACTTGGAAATTTTTTTTTCTTTTACGCGAAGAAAAGACGCATACGATACTATTCCATACGATTATTGCTTTACATTGATACTGTCGAAGCGAAGATTTTATTAATTATAAGTTTTAAATTTCTAAAGTGATGAGTGTCGGCTATCTTGTTGCAAAAATTTCTGACTAGTGTAGGTCTAATCTATTTTGTATAATAAACGAATTATCTATTTTCACAAAAGCATGACAAATATTCAGATTTTAAAAAATATTTTCAGTTAAAATGTTACATTGAACATCGTAATAGCAAAGAACTATGAAAAATCTATTTAATAACCTTATTTTGCTTGGTAGAATCAATCTAATCAGTAGATAAAAAATCTTTAACAAGTATAGATAGTGTGTGAGATACAATAAAAAGCTAATGCATTGATAAAGGATCGAATGACAATCTGTTTCAAAGATTTTAATTTAGAAATTTTAATATTTCAGAGGTAACTACTACAGCAACAACATCAATACGAACAACAACAACGACACGTATTCCACAAAGTAAGATAGGGATCTCGAATTTTTTGTAATTCAGTGTTTAAGATCAGCATATATATCTTCGGTGATAAATTAATAAACTTTTGGGCTCTTTTGAAAAATCACCCATAAAAATGTTTATTTTGAAAAAGTTCAAAATTAGATTACTTCTACTAAATATTACGAAATACTCCAACAAATAGGGTCCGAATGTTCCGAAAATTTCTGCATATTATTAACCTCAGTTGTCCTTCATGAAGATAGTACGAAAAGCACAAGGCTATTTTGATAAGTTGAATCTCTGATACTCATCCTACGCATCAATTGGAACGATTTTGAAGAAGACACCAACTTTTAATAGTTTTAAATAAGATAGCCTAAAACTCAATAATGTCGACAAAACAGACTATTATTACGTCTTACAACCATTAAAAAGCTTCTGCAAAATTCTTTCTATGATATTCATGATTGTTATTGATCTAAAGCTTTAAAAAAAATAACTAGTTCTTAAGATAAAATAAGCATTCGATACATAGTATACTGTACCCAGTTCTTCTTCTAATAAAGTATAGGTATTTGGAAGAAAATTGAACAATATTCATTTTATAGATTGTTCCGATTCGAATCTCATTACATTCGACACCATAACAAATGAACCTTCAGGCGAAGTACCTTCTGATTACATTGGCTTACAATGGAAAAATTTTTATGTGATGAATGTAACTGCTTTTCCATCTTATAGTACAAGTGGTTTCTATACGGCACGTCAAAGTGGATATATTGCATACAATAAAAATGGATCAACAATGACAATTAGTTCTAATCCACCATATGTGTTTAATTTATATTCTTTAATTGCTTCTTCTGGTTTTCAAAATCGGTTAAAATTAATAATGATTGGAAAACGTTCATCAAAAATATGGGGTTCTGCAATGTATCCTTTATACACACATTGGCCACAATTAATCGAATTAAACTATTTGAATATCGATAGCATCACCTTTTCAACTACTGATCCAGCGGAGTTTGCAATAGACAATTTGTGTATCTCGATGTAAGTTAATTAAATCCTAAAATAGCTCTACGCATTTTTGTAATTCTTTTTTTAATTAGCTCATCATTAACAACAACTGTCGAACCTACAACAACAACATGAATTATTTTGCTTTTATTTATATTCTAGCTAAATATAATTCAATTGCATGATTCTTTTTATGTTATGAAAAAGAATCATGTGTTGCATTGATTATTCATGAGAAAAAAATATTTTACAGTATTAGGACTATGTAGCTGGTCGCTAATGTTGCAACAATGTCACATATCGAAAAAAACGAAGATCTATGAGATACAGAGGAATGCAAGAGACTACAGAAATATCAATTCTTGAGCGGGTTCTTTTTGTATGACCCTAATTTTGGGGTGTCTGGATGGGTGTGAATTTAGATGCAAAAGGCGAATTAATAATGTTGTAAAGAAAATGAGTAAAGACCGAGGAAATGAAAAATAAATAAGTAAATATATAGATAAATAAATGATTTAATGAACCAAATGAATAAACTTTGTTTTTTTTGTATATACTTTCTTAATTTATTTTAGTTTTTTGTATGTTTTTAAATTTTGGAAATATTTTTTAATGCTTTTTATATATCCGAAAAATGTAAATGAAATATTCTAATTTTGTATGAGTTGGAAAAGTCAAAAAGATTAAGGGTGAGGTGTGTGGATGTGGGTGTGTATTCTCTTCACATCCATAACCATGGTCACAGCCACACCCACACCCTCTTATTTCGGTAGGTGTTGAATCTATTCAAAAATATCGTATCATGCAGAGATTATTTGTAAAATAATTTTTATTATGAAAATCTAATCTTCTCTTATTGTCAAAATGATACTCCTCATCGATGTAAACAAACGCATAAAATATACATTTTCCACAAGCAACCGAAAGTAAACATACTTTGGAAACACTGAGAAGTGCAGAGTGACAAAATTTTGTATTAAAATCTCGTGACGCTAAGCTGTGGGACATGCTTTTAACAATTCTTTAAAACACTTCCAATCGAAAGAAACTGGATAATGTATATAATGACCTAGTCCAAAAGAGTAAACTTTCAACAACATTTCTTTATGGACTGACACAACCTCAGCTTCATTAACCACACTAGAATATTGCCAGATCGTCTGACTTTTTATTCGATCTGTCAACAGAAGCATTGTGAAGTGTTGACGCGAGTGATGTCAACGTGGCGAATAAACATCCATATAAAACTATCGAAAGAAGCGAACTCGACAAGAAACAGAAGCTCCTGTGAGAGCACATTGGTTTTTGTAATTCTTGTAGTTACTTTTCCTTAGCCAATACATCAATTCGGCTGGCACTCAAAAACCAACGGCCATATTCGACTGCTGGCTTATCATTCAGACATTAGTTTCGAAGTGATCCGTGAGAAGACAAACATGTCACAATAATTCATGTGGAAAATTGACGTCCAACAAGATCATTAATGAAGGATTTTCCTTTGTTTGATCATGTGCCAAACGGGACATCATTCTTCGAAAAGTCATAACAATAATTGATACTTGTGATTGAACAGTAATAAAATTTAGGAGTCTCTATCGAGATACTTAAGATCAGCATCATCTATGCGCGTACAACGTTACCTGTTTTGTGTCTGCCGTTCTATTCCAGTACAACACATATACACATTACTATTACTTTCGCTCTGGAGAACAATGCGAAGGTGATTGGCAGCCAGAAACAATCAGTTCGATGATGTAAGAATAAGCAATAAAATGTTTTTTTTTGTAACTTATTTCATACTAGCAGAATATGCAATGTTCTTCGACTGTCTTCGTGCCGTTCAATACTTTGTATGGTAAGATGAGAATAAACCTTACAATACAGTAAGTATTGTATATGAAAAAATCGGGCTGAAATGAACAGTTTTATGAATTCATAATTATACGATTTTCATTTATTCGTTCACGGTTGTGAATCTTTATCAAAGATCTGATAAATCATTCTCTGTTATCTGTATCGCTTTGGAATCCATCTTTTTATCGGCATTACTATCTTCAATATTGGAAAGATGGCCATAGTGCTTCACGATCCAAATAAAACCTTGGTAGATCCATACACCAAGAATAGCTCCGACAATTGGACCAACGATCGGTACCCAAAAGAAATAGTTATGCACACCAAATACATCATTCCAACCATAGACAAGTGCTCCAAAAAGACGTGGACCCAAATCACGAGCCTAAAGCATAAAAACGTAAAAGAATAATACTTTACAAATTAATATATAGAATTTCCAAACAGGATTAATTGCAGCTCCAGCGTTAATTGAAAATGCACAAATAATGCCTGTAACGATCAGCGCAAATGCAACCGGTTTGACTGCTTCTGATACCATATGATTCAATTTCTACATAAAATAATTTATCAATCATTCATCTATTCCTAGCTACTCTCTCACATGTGTAACTGCCATGACAAAGACCATTAGAATAGCGGTGCCGACAATCTGATCGATCAACGCATTCCAATGTGGTGTACCTTCGGCAGGCATCGTAAAGAAAATATCAGCTGTACCATTGGGGCCAGTCATTTTTCGTATACCACCATCGAGTTCATCAAACTGCTTCAAGTAGACAAGATAGACCAGGGCAGCTCCTATAAACGCACCCAATATTTGACCAATAACATAGAAGATACATTGTAATGGTTTCAGTTTGCGAATAGTCATTAACGATATACTCAAAGCCGGATTGATATGCGCACCTAGAATAATCAATATGGAATTCTGTTAAATGCCATGCTAAGTCTTTCTCATACCAGTAATTGATCCACCAAGCATCAGTGCTAGAAAAAAACAAGAAAATAAATAAATTAATATATTTTTAGGTATTAGGAAACAAAAAGTGATGGATTTGATTTCTGTTGAAAACCTGTACTTCTTTGCAGTTTGCATCCTGTGTCCCGATGTATGTTGACTTTTTCCCGATGAAATGAGGCTAGAACAGTAGTCACAGACACAGAAAAAAGGTTATTTTCATGGAGTTACTAATATCAGATCAAAAAAATGATCAACCGATCAGACGTATTATTGTCATGTTTAGGTTTCTTCAAGTTGTGATTCTTAACAGAAGTAACTAAAAATAGAAATTAGTTGCACCAAATCATTAACTAGCAAACTACTTAAAATTAGTATTAAATTACTCTTCAAAATTATTATTATTGATTATTACTCACCTTGACAAAATTTTCTGCCATCTGACGATTTAGTTCGTTGTGACTTATGATCCATATATGCAAGATCAATTCAGGTGATAGAGATAAAATTATTTGATGGTGACCTTAGAAGTATTGCTTCATTTGTTTCTATATCGGCATGGTGTTTTTTAGAAAACTCTTTGTAAGTACGTTTTTAAAGAAAAACTCGCAAGATAATAAATCACTAAGGTAACTCATTACTTAATGAATTGACGAATTCCTTAGCAGGCGATTAATAAACGTCAGTTATTACAAATTGTAATTACTTCAGCTATCCATTAGTCAATAAGAAAGATAAAACCCTATCGTACTGCTATCTTAAAGATATATCAAGTAAGTCTTTGCAATAAACTAGTTTCATTTGGATGGATATCAAATTCGTGCTTGAAATATAGTAAGGATGATCTATGTTAGAGAAGCAATAGGCCAGAAAAGAGAATGCAAGTGATCAAACAATGAAGGGCCCTTTTGGAAAAGAAGATAGATTTTATTATAATGTCTGAAAAATGATCAATAGATATTCTATTCTGATTTCTCTACTAGACATCGACAAATTCAGTTTTAGTTAGGATCTGAAGAACTGTTCAAAACCATCTCTAATAAGAATTGATCTCTTTAGATAGATCTTTTGGTCGGGGTGGTGGGTGTAGATGGGTGGGCTATGGGTGTGAATGTATCAAAAAAGTGAATGTCTACACTCACATCCACACCCTTTGTTCGATCAGATCAGTTCTTCGCAAAAGAACTGTACGAAAAGATCAGTTCGTACCGAAGGAACTACTTCAACAATTCTTTTGCTCGTTTGATCTGGGTTCGTGAGCTTGAGCCAGTCTATCACCATTCTCTACGTGTTTCTATAAATATTACCTGAGTAGACACCGACGCCAAATGCAATAGCAATTGGAAGTGTAGAATGAGAAGGTTGTTTGGTAAATTTATAGTTAGCAATAGCAGCTTCGCCCATCAGTATGAGAACGCATGTTGCAAAACATTCCGTTAATAATTGAACCGCGTATTGTTGCAGCTCTTTTATCTTCACCATAGTCTGGTGTTTTAGTGTTATAGTCAAAGATAATCGCAGTAATCTGAGTTAATGTGGAATATTTTTTAAAATGTCATCCGCCATGTTTTTGAATAATTCTTCACCATTCATAGCTTTCGAGTTCGGGTTTCAGCCATTCGATAGAGCAGCGTGGGGAGCATCTATCTATATGAGATTCATTAGGGCCAGAGAAGTTTTTTTTTTGTGGTAGATATTTGATTGATATGTTTTTCGTTACCCATTTTCATTAGTTTTCCAGAGACCTAAGCTTAAGTTACACCAAAATGTAGCTACGATTTTCTTGAGTTGGCATCAAAATTTCAAGATTTTAAACGATTATCGTATTTGAGACAATCACAGCAAGACCTGAAAATTTTATCACGGATACAGTACCCTTCAGGTCAGACTTTGATGTAATTTAACCATATGTCTCTACAAAAAATAACGGAAATGGGTAATGAAAAATGTATCAATTAAATATCTACCATAAAAAAACTTCTCTGGTCCTAATGAATCTCATATAGATAGATACCCCTAACGCCACTCTATCGAACGGCTAAAGCCTGAACTCGAAAGCTATCAATGATGAAGAATTATTCAAAAAATAGCGGATGACATTTAAAAAAATCTGACATTAGAACACGAAAGAGTGCTGCACCTGTTGATTCTTCATTCTTTTTCTCGTCTTCTTTTGTCTCATTCTCCTCTCCTTTTCTGTTCTCGTTACTATAATAAAGTTCTAGAGATCATTGACTGCCTACAAAAAAACATTAAAGAGAACAAGATTCTGATATAGGAGGCTAGAGCATCATAGAGAACGAGATACTTTTATCTTCTATATATTCTATTCACCTGTAGTATTTGCTCGATTGTCGAAGCCTATCATATATTTGACAAACGATTTGTATAATAACAATAAAATGTCTGCATACAATGATGATGAAAACAATGTTACTGTTTCTTTTATTATCACTTAAATATTTTCTGCTTAAAAAAGAAAAAAAATTACATACAGAGAGTCTGGAAAGTAACTCCCTATTTTAAATTCTTTCTTGCTCTTAAACAACAAAAGATATCGTAACGATTTTTTCATTGTTTTGAAGCATGTGTCACGGTATGCTATTGCAAATAAATCAATACGATTGATCATTTGAATATCCAACATCAAGCACGAATTTCAGCTAGAGAATGCCCGGCAGTAACTCCTTATTTTGAACAGTTTATTACTCCGATACGACAACAGATACTATAACAACATTTTTTACTATTTAAAAGTGTACAACATACTATAGAATAATAATATCTTACATTTCTATATTGACTGCTGCCTTGTAGAAAGAATTTTGTGATATTATTATTTTACAGTATTATATACACTTCAAAACAGTAAAAAAGTTGTTATGGTGTCTGTTGTCGTATCGAAGTAATAAACTATTCAACATAAGGAGTTACTTCCGGACATTCTCTAGATGAAATTCGTGCTTGATGTTGGATATTCAAATGATCAATCGTATGGATTTATTTGCAATAGCATATCATGACACATACTTCAAAACAATGAAAAAATCGTTACGATATCTTTTGTTGCTTAAGAGTAACATAGAATTTGAGTGGATGAGGTGCGTGTTAGTGGTGTGGAGTCTACGTGTGAATGTGGACGTGAGGGTGGGCGTGGGCGTGTGGATGTAGTTTTGATGAATACTCTGAAACCGACACCCACACTCATATATACCATGTAGAATAAAATGTACAAATTATATTGATCTTTATGTTCATGTATTGCGCACAAGATCAACTCTTCAAAAACAAATATTTAATATCGAAGAACAACAAGTGAAAATTATGGCATGAACATTTTCATTCAATAGGAACCACAAAATAAACAAGAAAATCAGTTTTGTCAATATTTAAACTCTCAATATGATGAACACATACTTGAAAGAAAACAAAATCCTAATGAATTAAATGATTGGAAACTTTCTATAATATAGATACAGAAGAATTAACAACTGATTTAACATATGAAAACAATTTACTTAAGTTTATATCAATCACTAGAGCAACAACGAATAAAATCAAAAATTGATTTATATAAAAATATTCAATATGAATCTTTGATGACATTCAATATAAAATCAATTCTGTATCTATCATCATTATTTATTCAACAAATACATCAATATCGAATAGAACACTCAATAGAATCAATTATTGTATGAAAAGCATAGATGTCATAATACCATTACACTGGGTGTCGAGACCGAACCGTCAAAATACCAGCAGAGTAATCAAGTGTATTCACTTTCCCCATCTATAATTTACGAACAGGAGTAATGACTTCAATACCCCTTACATAAACTATATATCGTACAAGTTGAGCGTTTTGAGTGGATTTGGTGTAACAACGTCATTACCCCCGGGTAATACACCAAAATCACTCAAAATGCTCAGCTTTTAGAACATATACATATAGTCATTACACTTGGGATAATATACCAAAACCACTCAAAACGCTCAACTTTAAAAAGTATATAGTTTCCATGGCACATAGTGATATCATTACCCTTGTGGTAATTGCTGTTTCGTGGTGGATACCTGGTGTAACGGGATTATGACATCACTCATGAAAAGCACAAAAAGTTACTATTGTGAATCCAAATGGACACTCGATAACAGAGATGTCCATCGCGACTGAGAATCTACCGCTGCCGCGTCGCGGCGATAACCAAAAAAACTACCCAGTCAGACGAACACTAAAAATAACGCGTAAAAGCGGTTCGAAGTTTTAGCGAAAAAAAAATCGTAAAAACCCCACATTTTTGGATTTTTTTTTTCGTTAAAGTTTATCCGTGCGTTTTATTTCGTTCAAAGCTTTAACTCATGAAAATGCATTAAAACTTTAAACGAGATAAAACGTATTTACAAGCTATAACGAAAAAGAAATCCAAAGAATGTGCGATTTTTACGATTTTTTTTTGTTAAAATTTCGAACCGTTTTTACGCGTTATTTTTTAGTGTTTGTCTGACTGGGTACCTATCTAGCTAACTATCTAACTAACTACCTATCTATATAGTCAGCTAGCTATCTATCTAACTACCGATATAAGTAATTATCTATCTACCTATCTATCTACTTAACGATCTATCTATCTAATTACCTATCAATCTATCTAACTCTCTGTCTATGTATCTTATATCTACCTATGTATCTAACTACCTAACTACGCATGCAAAAACTTTCATCTAAAAGAGTTAC